CCGCGGGAGAAAGATGAGGCTTTCTACTCCCGTAAGGATTTACACCCTCGGAAACCCTGTACAGGGTCGCTATGGGTCGGACCCGACTCGACGGCACTTAACAACAACAACAACAATTACAAGTATTGTCAGAAGAAAGAACAAATATGTTTCTGAAGAAGTATGCTCAGATTGTTTTTTAGAACTAAGAATGGTGAGACTTCATCTCTGGTACTTTGGACATGTAGTCAGGAAGGGCCAACCTCGAGAGAAGGACATCATGTTTAGTCAACAAAAAAGAGAAAGACTCACAACAGAATGGATTGACATAGTGAGCGGCAATAATGGATCAAACATCACAACTGTGAGCATGGTGCAGGGCCAAGCAGTGTTTCACTTTGTTGTACATAGGGTTGCTATGAGTTGGACCTGCTTGATGCCACCTAATAATTATAATAACCACAACAAGAACATTATCCTTTTAATGGGTGCAGGGACTCTTAGGGTGTGCCTTTTTTTTTTTTTTTTTTTTTACTTCTGATAATGTTTAATCTCTCGCTTTCTTTCATCAACATCACCATAAACATTAATTTGATCAATTCTATAATAAACCAAATTTTGGCATTGTTTATCCTCTATGGTATTTCCTGTTTATTTTAATTTCTGCTCATTATTAAGGTCTTGCTTCTGCTGTCTTTCCGTATAGTTTGCTCTCATTTTTAACATTTCTTTTAACATTGTGTCTTCTCAAACAGATGCAGTGCTCATCAAACTTCAGGCTACCTTCTTTTCTAGCATGCACTCAAAGCCTGCAGCGTCCTGTCCAACTTGATAGTCCACACTTGCCCTGGATCCATCCACAGGCGGACTGGGTATTCTATTTCGGTCTCAATCCTAGGACACAGCCCTTTGGCCTCCCATCCAGTCAGGGTCACTTTGAAGGCAGGCTCTGTGAAAACCCAGCAGGGCACAGGGGCACAAATGACTGATCAACTAACTGACCACTGGTCACCTCAGGCTGGAAGCTCCTCATGGTCTTTTTTGCCCCTTTGTTGCTGCTTTTAAGGTGGCATTGTGGGTTAATGCACTGGACAGCAAGACTGATTTGAACTACAAGGCCTGCAGTGCAAGCTCACTGGCCACTTCCTGGAAACCGTGGTCAGGGTCACTATGAGTGGACTCGACAGCTCTTAACAACCAGTGTCATCACAAGGCCCTTTCTATGTACTGAGAGAGAGGAGGATCAAAGTCAGAGAAGATGTGGAAAATGCAAACAGTCCTTATAGAGGGTGAGAGAGATGGCTTTGACGATGGAGGTGCCTCTGTGTGTTTGAGGGTGAGTTAGATGGCTTTGATAATGGAGGTGCCTCTGTGTGTTTGAGGGTGAGTTAGATGGCTTTGATAATGGAGGTGCCTCTGTGTGTTTGAGGGTGAGTTAGATGGCTTTGACAACGGAGGTGCCTCTGTGTGTTTGAGGGTGAGAGAGATGGCTTTGACGACAGAGGTGCCTCTGTGTGTTTGTGGAACTAGGAGGAGACCCTTGTGAGAGCCCCTCATACAGCAGGTGGGCAGGGCTCGGCTACACAGGCTCTCTCATCTCCTTCGCTCAGCATCCTCATCTTCACAGTGTGCCAAAGAAAGTTTCTGCTCCTTAGAAACATGTTCTCTGCAGTTTGTGAAAACAAGGTGAAGCATCAGATGAGGCAGAAAGTGTAGAATGTTCTGGAAGACTAGGAATGAGCTGATTGGACATGTCTCCATGTCTCCAGAAGATTCTCCCAGAACAAGTGCCTCCCGTGCTGCCCTTTCCCACAAACCTCGCTCTCCAGTAGCAGCTTCAGTGTGGCATTGTAGAAGCAGCACTGTGCTTTGAATAGCAAGGTTGGTAGTTCAAACCCATCAGCTGCTCCTTGGAAACCCAGTACAGGCTGCTATGAGTGAGAACTGACTTGAAGGCACTTAGCAACTCACCTTCTTTTTGTTCCTTGCACTCCTCCAGTTCATGACAGAGGTGGGGAGAAGGAGAGGGCCAACCCTCAGGCTGGGTGGGAGGGGACACAGCTTGACAGCACATGGGACCTGGGACCCACTCAGGGTGGCCAAGGGGAGCTGGGGAAGGATCTGGGCAGCTGAGGTCCTGGTGTCCTCAACACCAGGTGGGCTCGGGACCAGAAGATGTTGCCTGGTACTCAGCCAATGTTGGGGCACAGCGTGGCGGGGCCGAGGCTGAGAAACGTAATTACAGGTCCTTGTAGGAGCTTTGAAATGTATCCTATGGACAACAGGAGCCACGTGGAGGCTCTAATAGAAGGAACAAGTGCATCAGGGTTAAGTTTTAGCTCAGCTATATAGTGAGGGGACTGAAGGAGGGTTAGGGGTTAGAATCTCAGTGGAAAGCCTGGTAGAGCCTGCAGTGGCCAATGTGGGAGCTGGTCAGGGTGGTGTCAAGATGACACAAGGGACAGGTGCAGTGCAGCAGGGCTATGGAAAAGCTGACCCTCAGATTAATATGAAATTGCAAAGGCCAAGAATATCTAAAACAATCTTGGGGAACAAAAAGAACAAAGCGTGGAAACTCGTTGTCTGATTTAAAAACACCGTAAAAGCATGATGTTGTTAAGTGCAGTCAAGTCTGCTCTGACTCATATTGACCCTGTATAGGGTTTCTGAGGAGCGGCTGGTGAGTTTGAACTGCTGACCTTGCGATTCAGGGCTTATCCTACAGTGCTACACCAGGACTCCAGCAATCAAAATAGTGTGGTACTGTTATAAGGCTCGACATACAGATCTATGAGCTAGAATTGTGTGTCCAACTAATGCAGATAAGGGTGCTGAAAACATGAAATGCGGAAAAGATGTCTGAACACGGCACTGAGACAACTTGATCTCCACAGGCAAAGACTGAAGTTTTGGACTCTTACCTCACGCCATATCTAAAAATTAATTTAAAATGGACCAATGGCCTAAATATCAAAGCTAAAACCATTAAAATCTTAGAACACAGGCAGATCTTCAGAACTTTCTTTTAAGTAATGAATTCTTAGGTATCATGTACAAACAACAAGAGAACATATAGAAAAACATGACTTCATCAAAATTAAACACTTATTTCCCTCATGAGAGTCATTATAAATCAAAAAGACAACCTACAGAACAGGAAGAAAATATGTGGGAGCCACGCATCAGATAAAGTTTTAACGTCCAGACTATTTAATTAACTCTTAAAACTCAACATCCAAAAAACTAACAACCCACTTTGAAAAAGGGCACAAGACTGAATGAGGATTTCTCAAAAGGTGATGTACAAATGATCAATAATCACATAAAAAGAAATCTAATATTATTTGCCATGTTGTTGCTAAGTGCTATAGAGTTAGTTCTGACTCATAGTGACCCTGTATAGGGTTTCTGAGGAGTGGCTGGTTAACAGTCCAGTGCTTATCCTACAGTCTTACACCGGGACTCTGCTATTTACCAGTGTTGTTATTGCTAAATGCCGTCAAATTGGTTCTGACCCATAACGACCCAGTGTAGGGTTTCTGAGGAGAGACTGCTGATCTTGAACTGCCGACCTTGTGGCTCAAATGGGCTCTGCTGTCCAGAGCATTAACTCACATTAGGGAAATGCAAATCAAAACTACAATGAGCTATAACGTCCCATCTATTAAAATAACCCCAACAAAACAGAACACGACAAATGTTGACAAGGACATGGAGAAATTGGATCGTTAATGGGAACATGACATGGTACAGCCACTGTGGAGGACAGTTGGGTGGTTCCTCAGAAACTGAGACCTGGAATTAGCATATGATCCAACAGTTCTCCTTCTAGTATGTACACAGAAGAATTAAAATCAGTGACTCAGAACAGATTCAGCATTTACCCTAGCAGTGAAAAGATAAAAGCAACACAAGATGAATAGATGAAATAGATTTATTCAGGTCAATAGATGAAGGGATACACAAAATGTGGTCTATGCACACAATTGAATAGTATTCAGGCATGACGAGAAAGGAAGTTCTGAAACATGCACATACATGACCCTTGAAAACATTGTGCTGAATGAAATAAATCAGACATAAAAGAACAGTGTATGATTTCACATGACTGAAGTTCGAACACAGGCAAATCTATTGAGACAAAGGAAGACGGTGGAAGGGAATTACGAAAGCAGAAAAACAAAAAAGTGTTTCCAACCTCACGTCCTGCTCCTCCCCTTCATACTGTAACCTCCTAAATGATTTCTTGCAGTCCCTCTGTCAATTTCCTCAGCTCTCCCGTTTTTCTTCAATTTACTCCCATCTGTTTTTGCTTCATGTACACTGCTATCTCCAGGCTAACTTCAAACCTCCCCACTTAATCTGATTGCGGTAGCAGCAGCTCTGTGACCGCCCTGCCTTCTCGGCCTTCTCGGGGCTCCATCCCCTGGTGTCTGTGGTGCTGTAGTGCCGGGATTCCTTTTCTTTGCCCTTCACATTCCTTTTCTGAGGGAGGTTTCGCTGAACCCTGATGAGGTCCTCTTCTCACCTCTCTCCTTTTCTTCATGCAACAGCCTCACCCTCTCTGTGCTGCTGAAGTCTAAGATCTTAAGCCCAGTTTTCTCCGTGGTGAACCAGATCCAAGCGGTGAAGACCTTCTGCACATTTCCAAAGCAAACCTAGCAACCTTCTCCAATCTGCCCACCTTCTGGCTTCCTTTTCGGCTGGCTGTGCTCCATCTTGGGGGGACATGGTGTTTATCCTCAGTTCTTCCATTTCCCTCACACCCAAGTCCAATAAATCAAAGATCTTGACTATCATCTCTTGAAACCATTTGATCAATTCATTCTGTGTTCCTGAACAAGTTTCAGGCAGTAAAATCTCTTGCTTGGGCTTTTGTGCCAGCTTGGATGTAGGGCAGGGTGGAGAGGGCATGCTAACTGTTCCGTCAGCCCCCACCACCCACCTCATTCAGGCCACCCAGTTAGAGATGGCATGGGGAACAAGCCAGGGAATGCAGGGGTCCAAGGTGGGTGTGGTCCCTAGGGAGAGGGCCTCAGGGCCTGGGTTGCTCTCTGTGCCAATCTACGCAGTGCCTCCTTCACCTCCTGGTTCCGTAAGCAGTAGATGATGGGGTTGACAAGGGGTGTGAGTACTGTGTAAACCACAGACACCAGCTTGTTGTAGTCAAAGGAGTAGATGGCACGTGGCCGGGCATAGATGAAGAGGGAGGCCGAGTAGAAGATGACCACCACGGCCAAGTGGGAGGCGCAGGTGGAAAAGGCCTTTTTGCGGCCAGTGGCCGATGGGATGCGCAGCACGGCGTTGAGGATGGCAGCGTAGGAGGAGCCGGTGAGCAGCAGGGGTCCCAGCAGGATCAGCAGGGCCAGCAGGAAGTCCACGAGCTCTGCCACAGACATATCTGAGCAGGCGAGGTTGAGCAGGGGGGACACATCACAGAAGAAGTGGTTCATGATGTTGGGGCCACAGTAGCCGAGGCGGGAGATGAAGAAGACCTTTCCCATTGAGATACTGAAGCCTGAGAGCCAGGAGCTGGCAGCCAGTAGGCTGCAGATCCCCGGGCGCATGATGGTGGGGTAGCGCAGGGGGCTACAGATGGCCACATAGCGGTCATATGCCATGATGCCCAGCAGAACACACTCAGTACAGGCCAGGGCCAGGAAGAAGTACAGCTGGGCCATGCAACCAGTGAAGGAGATGTGTTGGAACTTGGGGGCCGCCAGGATGAGCAGCATCTTGGGCACAGTGACAGAGATGTACCAGCCCTCCAGGAAGGACAGGTGGCTGAGGAAGAGGTACATGGGTTTGTGCAGCAGGGAGCTGGTGCGGATCACCGTCACGATGAGCACGTTCTCCGTGACAGTCAGCATGTAGATCAGCAGAAACAACACCAGCAGGCCCAGGTGCAGCCCTGGGGAGCCCGAGAAGCCCAGTAGGACGAACTCGGTCACCTCTGAGCCGTTGTCCTTTGAAGACATGGCATTGTCTGGAGGGCAGAGGTGGCAGGTCAACAGGGGGCTCTCTGCTGCCACCCAGTCCAGGTGTGAGGAGGTTCTGCCCCAGAGTCACTGCCAGGCCAATGGACTGAACAAACCGTGCTTTGGATGGAGGCAGCGCTGCGTAGGAAAGTCTAACTGAGAAGGAGAGAGGAGCCCCTGGCAGGCAGGCCGCCCCCCCCGCCCCCCCCGGGACTACCACAGCCAGTTCTGGGAGTGCTGAAAGCCATGGCCAACATCACCCTGGTCCAGGGCTAGCGGGAGATGGAGGAGCAGGGGGCCCACAGAGGAGAGGTGTGAGGTGAGCCTGGTCAGAGCCCTGCCTGGGGTTTGGCTGACTCTGCTGTCATCTGTGTGGGGGCCTGGTGGGGTGTCCCTGCCATGCTGGGACCTGGTTTCCTAACCCATACCTGAGGGGAGACCGGTATTCCTTAGAATTCACCCCAGGACTAAATCAGGCTCTGCAAAAAGTGACTATGGTTCTTAGGAGAATTCAGGCTCCTAGGGAGCTTTGAGGCCCCATCTCTGGGGCTGGGAGAACTTCCAGCTCCCACCTCTCTGGGAGGCCTGGTGGGGCTCAGTCCCTGTCTGAGGCGGATGTGTGGAGCGAGAGTTTGCTGGGGAGGCAGGGCTGGCCAGCAGTCTCCTGGTTCCTTGGACGTGATGGTTGTTTTTGTGACAGAAAGGGCCGGGTTGTTAGGATGAACAGACCCACTAGAAGACCCACCTGGCGCCCACCCGCAGTGGCTTGCACTTTTTTCCTGCTGTGGCTTTGTGGGCTCGAGGTTCATGTGCCTGGATCAGACCTTCCAGGCCCCTTGACCCTGACCCTTAGAACCCAGTTAGTGCCCTCACACTGTGGACCATACTGCTGGGTACCCATGTCTTCTTAAGAGTACATGTGTTCACCATGCTGTGGGGGTCAGACATTGACCTCTGCCTGGCCTTCAGGGTCCTTTGGTCCACAGGAGGTGATGGAGCACTGCTGGCTGGGGTGGGGGGTTGTAGTGTGTGTGAGGGGTCCTCTGGAGGTCACACTTGCCTGGGGTCAGCACTTGGCTGTCCGGTTCTTGGGCAGCCAGCAATACCCCTGTTCCCCGACTCACTGCTCACATCATAACCTCACAGACCCCTCCGAATACCACCAGCCCCAGGCTCCCCTCCCTTCTCTCTCTATGCAGCGCCTCACCTGCTGGCACCAATAAGGTTTCTGTCCCACAAAGATTACAGGTGGGGGGTGGTCATGGACATGGGGCAGAGCCTAGACTGGTGCATAGGTTTGAGTCTGCTCTTCCCTTGGTGCCGTGCGACCCTGTGCCTAGTTACTCAGCTGTGACACAGGTCTTTTTGAGACATTTTCAAGGACAGCCAGGATGTAGACTGTCTGCTTGGGCTCGTAGAGGGGTGGGAGGGGGACAGGGAGAGCTGCAGACCTCCTACCACACCAGGTGGATCCGAGGAGCCAAGGGAGGGGCCTGGCCCTCGTGGCTCACTCATCGCTAGCAGTGGCCTGCAGCAGAAGAATTGGGTTCAGAGTTATGGGTAAGGCAGCCTAACTCCTGAAGCCTTTGCCCACTGCCCACTGATGTCCCTGTCTCCAGCTGGCTAATGACCTCCAGGCCCCAGTCCCTAGAACACAGTTCCTGGGCACCATCACTGTTTGACTCCACCTGCTCTTCATCCTCAGACATGGGACCTGGGCACCCAGTTGGTGTGAGGCAGGAGCGGCCCACAGACACCATAGGCCAGGCTCTCTGGCCACACATGTCCCCCAAGATGCACACAGTGAAATGCTCTTCAAACCTCAGTTCTCCCACACGCCCCCAGTGCCAAGTCCACTGCCATCAAGCCGATTCCAGCTCATAGTCACTCTGTCTTCTAGGGTGACTACTCACCTAGGGCTTCTGGGACTCCAAATCTTGATGGGAGCAAACAGCTTCATCTTTGTCCTGTGATTGGAAGCACACTCACCCCTAAACATGGGCACCCTGAAACATGGGGACACACAAGCTCCCACAGACTCTGGCCTAGGCACACACAGAGGTGAGGTATAGACAGTGCCTACCTGCCCTCAGGTAGATGTGCAGAGTCTCCTTCCCACTGGTCGATACCAAGTCCCACTGAGCCTCCAAAGTCTAGTGTGTTCCTGAAAAAACATGAATGTGAATATGGCTCAAAGACATGGAAATCCCCCAAGTTTCAGACCCCACATGCCTTTTAACATAAACACAATCGTGGTCACCAATAGACTCCCAGGCAGCATTGTTGGTCAAGGTAGCTACACAGACAGGTGTACACACAGGTGTACATATAGGTGTACACATACACACACTTAGATGCACTGTGGCACACATATGTGCACACAGGCATGTTTAGGTACCTACAGACACACAAGTACACACGGACACACACAGACACACAGGTACACATAGTCACATGCAGATACACTGTCTCCATAATTTCCTAACAGGTGCACACAAGGCACACATAGGTGCGCACAGGCACACTTCAATACATTGAGGTACACACACACTTGTGCACAGACTCAAAAACAGGTATGCTCACAGACAACACAGGTGCGCTTACACACACACACAGAAGTGTGTACCAAGGTACACAGAAGCACACACAGATAGACACAAGCACACAGTCACACACAGGTGCACATAGACTCACACACAAGCATGCTCATGTACACACACAAGTGCACCCAGACACACACACACACACACACACATCCCTCAGTTCTCACCTGCACACAGTGACTGTGAGTTTTCAGGTGATGGATCTGGGTTTGAGTGTTAGCCTGTCTGCAATGTTCAAACCCACCAGCCCCATCTCCTCACCTGTGAATGTAAACAGGACTGAGGGCCCAGCACGGCTGCACACACACACACACAGACACTTGCTCTTAGAGCAGGTGAAGCAACTGCTCATGGTAACGTACACATTCCTGGAGTAGGGACCCAACAAGGACAGAGCTTGGAAAACGGCAAAATACAACACAACTGCTCTAAAGGTCTCCCCTCAAAAAAGTGACTCCTCTACACCGGAGACAAGGATTCAGCTGTCCAGAGACAGAGGGTGGCTTTTCCATGCCTAGTATCTACAGAAGGAGGCTAAGTTGTTTGGGGGAAACTGCTGAAGAGTTCCCCAGGGTGTCCTCAAAGCTTGGGCTCCGGGCAGCCCTGGGAGCATTGGCAGAGCTGCCCGGGGCAGCCGGAGCCCCTGCACTGCCCGACAACTTCAGCACGCGCTTGTTCTTCAAGAACAATGTGACCCTGCCTTGTCCCCTCCTCGTATTAAGAGAGCTCTAGAGGGAAGAGGATGCAGACAGAGCTTCCCCACGGAGGGGTTAGGGAAGGAGGTGGCTTCTTCCACTCAGAGGCCCAGGGGACAAGTGTGTACCAGGCCACAGGACAGCCTGCCTGGGGCCCACCACATGGCTGTCTGTAAGGCACAGCGCAGGTGTGACCTGGGGGTGGGTAGGAGAAGTGGGCCCAGGTAGAAGTCATCTGGGGGCTCAGTCCCTCCTGCCCCTTCCCAGTCCCAAGCACTCACTCTTGCCTACTCGGAGTGGTTGGTATTGACACCCCTCCTGCATCCCTGAGCTATGGATGCTAGGAAGACATCATGCTTGGTAAAGTGGGGACACCCCCAAGCAGACGGACTGGCACAGTGGCAGTAACAATTGTGAGGATGGTGCAAGACTGGCGGTGTTTCCTTATGTTGTTCACAGGGTCGCTACAGAACTGAAGACTAACCCTAACAATGCCCAGGGTGCTGATCTTTAGGTGCTCCATTTCACTTTGAATGATTTCCAATTTTCCTAGATTCATATTTCATACATTCTACATTGATTATTAATGAATGTTTGCAGCTGTTTCTTCATAAGTAGTTCTTCACCAATCATATTTCGAGTGCCTTTCAACCTGAGGGGCTCATCTTCCGACATTATACCAGACAGTGTTTTGCTGCTATTCATAAGGTTGTCAGTGGCTAACCATCTGAAGTGGTCCACCTCTCCTTCTTCCGAATCTCTTATTCTGAAAGTTCCACGGAAACTTTTCCGCCATCGGTGACCCTGCTGGTATTTAAAATACTGATGGCATAACTTTCAGCATCACAGCAACATACAAGCCACCAGAAAAACAAACTTACAGAGCACAGAAAGTAGATTTATGATAAAAGAAAAAAAAAGGATCAGTTCACTAAAAAGATAAAACAATCCTAAATATGTATCCATAATACCACAGAGCTTTAAACTACATGAAGCAAAAAACGAATAGAGCTTTAAGAAGAATAGACAAACCCCAAATTGTAGTTGGAGACTTCAATATTCCACTCGAAGTAATTGATAGGACCTATACAGGGTTGCTCTGACTTGATGGCACTTAATAACAACAACCGTATATAGAAAGATTTACAGATTTGTATATATACAGGCAGTCCCTGGCTTATGAACACGATCCCTTCCTAAATGTGTCTTTAAGTTGAATCTGCAGCTATATCAGAACAGGTACCCATGGTTCTTATTTAGCTTTTAGTGCAAGAAAAGGCTTGAAGTTTTTTCAGTTATTTAAATAAAATCTGCAAGTGCAACAAGTGAAGATAATTGTGAAGACTTTGCTTCAAGAAAGGGTGGCTTCAGTCATTTCAAAGCAAGGGCAAATTGGCATATCAGTAAAGGACAAGTTCGAAACTACCAGCTGTTCCGCGGGAGAAAGATGAGGCATTCTGCTTCCGTAAAGATTTGCAGCCTCGGAGACCCTGTGCAGGGTTGCTATGGGTCGGAACCGACTCCATGGTACTTAACAACAACAACAACAACAACGGGCAAGTACTAGTTGTCCATAAGTCTGACATTGTTAACCCGGGGAGTTACTGTACGTAGGTTCACACACACTCACTCACACACTGCTTTTTTGCTGTCCCTCCATTTACCAAGCACAATGACCTTCTCTAGGGGCTGGTCCCTCCTG